ATACTTGGGTTTCTTCACTGAGGTCTTCCTTGTCCATTGGCACTGTGAATTCTAATTTTTCCCCATAGTGCAAGGGGGCAGAAAAACAGATGTTTTAGATATAATCATGTCTTGTGTCCTTCTAGCAAGCATTTCCCTCCAGCTCTCTCCAAAAATAATCTTCCAACCCATTGGATGAACGTTGATCTTTCATCCAATCCAGCTGCCCTCCGGCAAGCCAGTCTCATGGCCGTTGGCCAACACTGTCCTCTTCCACCATTTCTGTTTCTCTCCAGTTCTCTGCTGTGTTTATTCTTTCGTGTTCCAGATGGCAGATGCAGGTCTCATTTACCGGCCTGTTAAACTCAAAGCTGGGGAATGTGGGTCCTTCTTTCATCAAATCTTTAAATTTCCTGATGCAGCCGGAGACAAAGCACCTGCAGCAATGGTCTCTACCTGGCCCATTTCTAGTCTTTCTCTTCATCACTCACCAGGCACACAGCAGGAAGCCATTGTAACAAACACCTTCCTGATTCTAACTACCCCATGATTTTTAGATTTTTTTAAAATGAGAATTTGTATTATGAAATGTTGCATTTAGAAGTATGCTGACAGGCTTTGCTTGTTACGTCATCTTTATTAACTGTATTTAAACAGTACTTCATTTATTTCTGTCTTCTATGCCACTTGGTCAAATTATGGTTGTAAACCAGGGTGTGGAAAAGCGGGGCTCTCCAGACGTTGTTGGACCTCAACACCCAGCATCCTTCACCACTTGCTATGTTGGTGAGGGCGGATGGGAGCTGCAGACCAGTAATACTGTATCTGGAGTGCTACATTTTGCCCGCTTTGTGATGTCCAATAAAAATTGGACTTGAACTGAATGAAAAAAAATAAGAGACATTTAATACATAAATAAATTTAATTCACTGAATTTAATTGTCTAAATGGGATACAAAGCTGATGAAACAAGCTTATGGGATTTTGGAAGCCATTTTTCTACCTGAGGAACCTTTTGGGAATCCCTTTAGTTCCTCTAAATGAAACACGAAGGTTCAGTGGTTTTGGATGGGTGTGAAAGAATTGCACTACTTAGAGGTGTTTTGTTTGTGTGTGTGTGGGGGGGTTAATCATCATCATCATCATCATCATCATCATCATCATCATCATCATCATCATCATCATAGACCTGCTTACTAATTTTTGGGATTAGTAAAAATATTCAGAAGTTCCTTGAGAAAAACAGAGAAAAATGAAAAACTAATTAATGACCTATGGTGAAGAACTTGACGAAGTTAGCATCAAAAGAGGAATATTTCAAGGGGATTCTTCGTCACCACTGCTGTTTAACATTTCACTAATTCCCATGTCAATAATTTTAAATAAAACTGGATTGGGCTACCATATTTAAGAACAAGCAGGAAAAATCAGTCTTTTATACATG